ATTCTTCATTTGGTACTATTTTTGCTTCTAACTTGGAGTAATTCTGTTATTTTAGATCTACATCGACGAGCTCTATTGCTGAAGAATTTCACGAGTGTAAAGTCTGTTACAAAGTGTTTCCTACTTCTTTTCAACTCCAGAGACACAAATCAAGACATCGCGAGAGACAACACAAGTGTCCTTTATGCGATAAAAGGTTTATTCTAAAGAGTGAAGTAAAATCTCACATATCTTTGCACCACATTCAAGACAAGATTTTTTCTTGCGAGTCTTGTGATTACAAAACGCATACTAGCGCTCTTCTTCAAGCTCACATAACCAGAATGCATACCAAAGATTTTCAGTTTAGGTGCGATACTTGCAACAAGGGCTTTCTTTATAGAAAGATGTTGAACACTCACATAGAATTTTATCACGAAGGTATGAGACTGGTGTGCGAGTTTTGCCCTAGAGAGTTCATGAATAATAAGCAATTAAATATACATTTGAAAAAACATCATGATCCGAATCATGTCGTAACGAAGTTTCCCTGCCCTGAATGTTCGAAAGTTTTGAGCGACAAATACAGTTTGAAACAACACGTGGAAATGATACATAGAGGTGAAAGGGGAAAATATGTTTGTGATGTTTGTGGGAAAAGATTGATGACGAATAGTAGTTGGAACAAGCACAAGAAAATACATACTGGGGAGAAGAATTATGTATGTCCAGAGTGCGGAAAGGCGTTTATTACGGGACAAGCATTCCAGGTCCATATCAGAGTSCACACTAAGGAAAAACCGTATCAGTGCACAGAATGTGACAAGGCGTTTTCGCAAAAGGGAAGTCTTACTCTTCATCTGCGATATCACACCGGCGAAAGGCCTTATAAGTGCGATGTGTGCAAAAAGCAGTTTATTACCAATACTATTCTRAAAGATCACAAATGTAAAGGTGTGGCCTAAGAGCATGTCTAACTTATTTTTTAGCTAATAGTAACGCTGATGTAAGCTTTTGCAACAGACGTATTTATTTTTCATAAATGATCAGACTTTAGCTGATAAAGAATCAACTTAAATTTATTTAAATTTTTGTATTTTTTCGTGTCTTACATCAATAAAAATATTTAAAAATATCCTGTTGTTTTACTAATTAATCAATTAATTTATGTTTTTCAGTCATTTCAGCAAAATATGTCATTCTGGATGAAATATTTTTGAAATGGTGTTTTTTGCTTTTTCCTCTTATACAGTGTGTAGGTATGAGTTGTTACTACTACTTTTCTGAACATTTTTGGTAATAAAGTTTGAAAATTTTTCTTGCATGTAGTTTTTTTGTCTCATTTAATTTATTGGAATAGATTGTTTCTAGTATGCATTTATTTGATGATATTTTTTTTTTTTGCTTTTTTAAGCATGGGTTTTATCAATTTGGTAGTTGATTTTTTTAAGTTTCTAACGGTTTTAGATTGTTTCATTTTTGGTGGGTAGTTTTGTCACCATGTACATTGTTGCCACTTCACTAAAGTGTGCTCATTTCAGATACAACGTTCAAGATTTTTACTGCGACGTTTGCTACAAAGTGTTCCCTTCGACTGTTAAACTGACCAAACATAAAACAAGACATCGAGAAAAAACCCTCAAGTGTCCCTTGTGTTCTAAAATGTTTCTCTTGCCCTCTGAGTTACGATCCCACATATCGGTCCAACACGATAAGCAATATAATTTTTCTTGCGACCTTTGTAACTACTCAACGTACAAGAGATGGTGTCTTGAAGTGCATAAAATAAGAGAACACACGAAAGAATATCCATTCAAGTGCGATATTTGCAATAAAGGTTTCGTGAGTAAAGTGTGTTTAACGAAACATAAAGAAGTGCAACACGAGGGTCGAAGATACACTTGCGGATTTTGCTCTAAAGTGTTTCGAGATGAAGGCCAGTTTAAAGTGCACACAAAACGACATGATCCTAATTACGTCGAAAGCAGATACACTTGTTCAGAATGTCTGAAAGTGTTCAAGACTAAAGTGCGTTGGAAGGACCACATGAAAATGCACATCGAGGGTCGAAGTGAGTACATTTGCGACATTTGTGGCAAGAGTGTGACAACTTTGCAAAGTTTGAAAGACCACAAGACGATACACACAGGGGAAAAAAACTTTGTTTGTGAGGAATGCGGGAAAGCTTTCAACAAGAAACAAGTGCTTCAAATTCACAGGCGAGTGCACACTAAGGAAAAGCCGTTTAAATGTACGGAATGTGACAAAGCGTTTTCGCAGAGAAGTAGTCTTATTGTTCATATGCGGTACCACACGGGGGAAAGGCCCTACAAGTGCGAACTTTGCTCCAGGGAATTTGTTACAAGGACTTTTCTTAACGGGCACAAGTGCAAGGGTTCAACTTAGTTGTGTTTCAGCAATATAAAGTTATTTTACTTTTGGTTTAGTTGTATTTAAAGAATTTTATTGCGGTATTTCTTAGATTTAGCGAATTCTTCGTTCTTGGTGCTTGTAGAAAGAAAATTACATTTACAAAAATTACAATTTTTATTGGTTTAATAAAGTGATATTTCTTGTAACAATTTGTCGTTAACTGTTCTTAATTTTTTATTTTCTTGCATCAAAGAAGACACTATCTATACCAAAATTTTTAAAATTTTTGTACTCTTGTGTTAACTATTTTGTTTTATTAATTTTTATGTATTTTCATTACAATAAACAACCCAATATGGTGTGTTTTATAATCACATAATACTTATKTTTGTGGAGGGTGTGGAGGAATTAAAGATTATTTAGTCTTGTTTTTGTTTTTGCTTGAAATGTTGTCAAGGTAGGCTTCATAAACAATATTTTTTTATTTCTATTTTCACACATTTCGTCTTTTTACTTTACGTGACTAATGTCTACCGTTTCAGATGCTACTCCACAAAGCAAATCACTGGGGAACACTACCAGTGCGAAATCTGCACCAAAATATTTTTTTCTTATCGTGGATTTCGCTTACACCAGGCCCGACATAACAAAAAACACAAGTGTCCTTTCTGCGACAAGCGCTATGTCGTTCCTTTTTTACTCAAATGTCACATTTCTTCAAGCCACGAAAACCAAAAGAACTATTTTTGCGACATTTGCGATTTTGCGACTTATCGCAAGAGGAGTTTTGAGGTCCACAAGATTAGAGAACACACAAAGGAGTATCCTTTCAAGTGTGACATTTGCAATAAGGGTTTTGTGCACAAAGTGTTTTACACTAGACACAACGAAGTCGAACACGAAGGTTTAAGATACACTTGTGAAGTTTGTTCGAAAAAATTCAGATCGGAAAAACACTTTAAAATTCACACAAAACAACATGATTCGAATTATGTCGAAACTAGATTCACTTGTGTTGAATGTTTGAAAGTGTTTAAAAACAAAAAGGGATGGAGGCACCACATGGAAGCGCACAATGGGGACAAAAAAGAATACATTTGCGATATTTGTGGCAAAAGTGTGTCAACTTTGCAAAGTTTGAAAGATCACAGGACAACACATACAGGTGAAAAAAATTTCGTATGTGAGATTTGTGGGAAAGCTTTCAATACGAGAGCGTTACTTAAGACTCATACTAGGGTTCATACTAAGGAGAAGCCCTTCAAGTGTACAGAATGCGAAAGGGCGTTTTCCCAGAGGAGTACTCTTGTGGTTCACATGAGATACCACACCGGAGAAAGGCCTTACAAGTGCGACTTGTGTGCTAAGCAGTTTATCACAAGAACTGTTCTTAATGCACATAAATGTAAAGGTTTAGTGTAGCATTTTTAATAAATTCGGTTTTTATTATGCGTTTTGTATTCTGTTATTTATACCACAAATGTCCAGTTTGTATTTTTGCATGGAAAATGTTTGAAAGCAAATTTCCAGACAGTAAAAAAAACGTTTGTGAATAATAAATGCAGGGCTTTGTGATTTGATTCGTTTTTTTAATAAAGTTTGAGCAGATATTTGTTGGTTTTTAGTTTAATTTTACTTTCAGTTAGTTGCATACAGTTTTTTTTTTAAGAATCGACTACTTGTAAGTTATATTTACATTGCCTTGTATGCATAGAATAATATAATGTGTATTTTTTACATTTGATCTAAATTGTGACGTTTCAGGCTCAAGTCAGACCCCAATGCCTACTTCGAGTGCAAAATATGTCACAAAATTTGTTCGTCTTGGGTAAGCTATAGGAAACATTCCTATAGACACAAAGAGAAAACACATAAATGTTCCCAATGTGACAAAATGTATCTATCTTTACGTGAACTCAAAAGGCACGTAATTAGCCGACACGAATCATCTGAGAGAATAAATTGTGAGATTTGCAACGCTTTACTGAAAAAAAAATCACTAAAGCAACACATGATACAGCACACTAAAGCATATCCTCAAAAATGCGATATTTGTGACAAAGGTTTTTTGTCTAAAGCTGCGGTGAGGTATCACAAACGATCGGTTCATGAAAAAGTACGTCAGATGTGCGAACATTGCTCGAAAGTGTTTTCAGATGAAAGACAATTACTAATACATGTAGAAACGCATAAACCTGGATATGTTGCTCCTGTTTTTACATGTCAAGTGTGTTTCAAAGTGTTGCATGCTGAGGGATCTTTTAAAATACACATGAAAAGGCATAGAGGCGAACTTATTAATTATGTTTGTGATACCTGCGGAAAAAGTCTTACGAAGTTACAGAGTTTTAAAAATCATATGAAAACACACACCGGAGAAAAACCATTTGTTTGTGAATTGTGTGGGAAGGGTTTCACTACCAAAACATTGTTAACAATTCATAGAAGAGTTCACACCAAGGAGAAACCATTCAAATGTAACGAATGCGACAAAGCGTTTAGTCAATGTTCTACGTTGAATATCCACATGAGATACCACACCGGCGAGAGGCCCTACAAGTGCGACTTGTGTGCTAAGCAGTTTATCACAAGAACTGTTCTTAATGCACATAAATGTAAAGGTTTAGTGTAGCATTTTTAATAAATTTGGTTTTTATTACGCGTTTTGTATTCTCAGTTATTTATACCATAAATGTTCAGTTTGTATTTTTGCATGGAAAAAGTTTGAAAGCAAATTTCCAAACAGTAAAAAAAACGTTTGTGAATAATAAAATTGTGACCATTTGATTCACAAATACAGGGCTTTGTGATTTGATTCGTATTTTTTAATAGAGTTTGAACAGATATTTGTTGGTTTTTAGTTTAATTTTACTTTCAGTTAGTTGCATACAGTTTTTTTTTAAGAATTGACTGTACTTGTAAGTTATATTTACATTGCCTTGTATGCATAGAATAAAATAGTGTGTATTTTTTACATTTGATCTAAATTGTGACGTTTCAGGCTCAAGTCAGACCCCAATGCCTATTTCGAGTGCAAAATATGTCACAAAATTTGTTCGTCTTGGGTAAGCTATAGGAAACATTCCTATAGACACAAAGAGAAAACATACAAATGTTCCCAATGTGACAAAATGTATCTGTCTTTACGTGAACTCAAAAGGCACGTAATTAGCCGACACGAATCATCTGAGAGAATAAATTGTGAGATTTGCAACGCTTTTCTGAAAAAAAATTCACTAAAGCGACATATGATACAGCACACTAAAGCATATCCTCAAAATTGCGATATTTGTGACAAAGGTTTTGTGTGTAAAGCTGCGGTGAGGAATCACAAACGATCGGTTCATGAAAAAGTACGTCAGATGTGCGAACATTGCTCGAAAGTGTTTTCAGATGAAAAACAATTTCTAATACATGTAGAAACGCATAAACCTGGATATGTTGCTCCTGTTTTTACATGTCAAGTGTGTTTCAAAGTGTTGCATGCTGAGGGATCTTTTAAAATACACATGAAAAGGCATAGAGGCGAACTTGTTAATTATGTTTGTGATACCTGCGGAAAAAGTGTCACGAGTTTACAGAGTTTTAAAAATCATATGAAATCACACACCGGAGAAAAAACATTTGTTTGTGAATTGTGTGGGAAGGGTTTCACTATCAGAAAATTGRTAACAATTCATAGAAGAGTTCACACCAGGGAGAAACCATTCAAATGTATCGAATGCGACAAAGCGTTTAGTCAGTGGTGTACCTTGAATATCCACATGAGATACCACACCGGCGAGAGGCCCTACAAGTGCATTGTTTGTAGCAAAAATTTTGTGTCAAAATCAGCTCTTAATGTTCACAAATGCAGGGCTTTATGATTTGATTTGTATTTTGTAATAAAGTTTGAGCAGATATTCGTTGTTTTTTAGTAATTTTATTTCCAGTTAGTTGCATACAGTTTTTGACTTTCCTTATGTTACATTTACATTGCCTTGTATGTATAATATAAAATAGAGTATATTTTTTTACTTGATCTAATTTGCTTTGTTTTAGGCTTAAGTCGGACCCAGATGCTCACTTTGAGTGCAAAATTTGTCACAAATTTTTTTCGCTTTGGATGAGCTACAGGAGACATTGCTATAGACACAGAGAGAAAACTTGCAAATGTCTTCATTGTGACAAGATATTTCAGACTTCAGAAGAAGTCAAAACTCATGTTGCTAGCATGCATGGGCCTTCCCAGAAAGTAACTTGTGATATATGTAACTGTGAGTTGAAAAAATGGTCACTCAAGCAACACCTTATAACACACACTAAAAAATTTCCTCACAAATGTGACATGTGTGATAGAGGTTTTACGTGTAAGTCCGCTTTGGTGTATCACAAACGATTAGTTCATGAAGGAGTTCGTCATGTGTGCGAATATTGCTCGAAGGTGTTTTCAAATCAGAGATATTTTCGAACTCATGTTGAAAAGCACAAACCTGATTATATTACTTCTGTTTTTACATGTGAAGTGTGTTTGAAAGTGGTGCGCACTCGAGGAGCTTTTGAAAAACACGTGAAAAGACATAAAGGAGAACTTGAGAAATATGTATGTGACACGTGCGGAAAGTGTTTGGCGAATTTGCAAAATTTTAAAGACCATATGAAGGGACACACGGGAGAAAAGAAGTTTGTTTGTGAAACTTGTGGAAAGGCTTTTATTACAAAGCCACTGCTTAAGGCTCATATTAGGGTTCACACCAAGGAGAAACCGTTCAAATGTACAGAATGTGGTAAAGCTTTTACTCAAAAGGGTAGTTTGAACATTCACATGAGATATCACACCGGCGAAAGGCCCTTCAAATGCGATGTGTGCAAAAAGGAGTATGTGTCACAATCGACTCTTAAAGGGCACAAGTGCAAGGGCTTATGATTTTGTAAAATTTTTAATTAAATTCTAATAAAGATGTAATTTTTTCCGAAATTTATTTTTTTTGTTGTTTTTTGTGAGATTGTCTTAGAAGTGTGTAAAGTTTTTATAATACTATTCGCATTGTTTAGCAGAATTTTTTAATCATGTGGTAATTAAGGTTGAATTTCGTGTGCTTGGTGTTATACAAAAAACAGATTTTGATGTTGTGAATTAGCCTTTTCTGATTCCTATTTTTTCAGTGTCAAGTTGGAGGTTCTGGGAAACACTTTTGAATGCATCATTTGTTCCAAAAGATTCCTCACCAAAAAAAGACTATATAGACACCAAAACCGCCACCGCGAAAAGAAACACAAATGTCCTTTTTGCGACAAAATGTATGTTTTACCATCAAACGTCAAGTCACACATCTTGTACTCTCACCAGAAAGACAAACAAAATAGATATTTTTGTAGTCTTTGCAACTTTGGAGCTACCGATAACTTTAAAATTAAACAACACACAATTATTCATCATACTAGAGACTTTCCTTTTAAATGCGACTTGTGCGATAAAGGATTCATCAAAAAACAACTCTTGGCTGACCACAAAAAAGTCCAACACGAAGGTGTTGAACTAGTGTGTGAATTGTGTTCGAAAAGTTTTAGGACTCAAGCAAATTTTCGAAATCATGTGGCGAAACACGATCCTGATTACATTACTCCAAAGTTTACATGCGAAATGTGTGGGCAAGTCTTGCACAAGAAAAGTTCTTTTGAGAAACATATGAAAAAGCACAAGGGTGAATGTGATAATTATGTATGTCACACGTGCGGGAAAAGGCTCTCGTCGTCGGAAAGTCTCAAATATCACATGCATAGACATGCGGGACAGAGGACGTTTGTTTGTGAAGTGTGTGGCAAGGCTTTTACCACGAAAGTACTACTAAATGTACATTCACGAGTACACACGAAAGAAAAACCCTTCAAGTGTACTGAGTGCGACAAAGCGTTTTCTCAAAAAGGTACTCTTAATATCCATATGAGGTACCACACTGGTGAAAGGCCCTACAAGTGCGATTTCTGCAACAGAGTGTTTGTTTCCAAGACAGCTCTTAATAGTCACAAGTGTCGAGCTATTTAGTTTAATGTATGTTTGAAATAAAGGATTATTATATAAAGAGTTTTAAGTGAATTTTTAACAAGAAACTAATAAAGCTGTTTTTTTCTGATTATTTTTTCTTTTAATCATGTGGTAATTAATTGTGGTAATGAATTTTGAAGTCAAAGTAGTGTGCTTAGTGTTATACAAAAAACATATTTTGATGTTGTAAATTGTGCTTTTCTGATTCTTATATTTTCAGTGTCGACGCATCGTTGGAGGTTTTGGGAAACTCGTTTGAATGCACAATTTGTTCCAAAAGGTTTCTCACCAAAAAAAGACTAAATAAACACCGAAACCGCCACCGCGAAAAGAAACACAAATGTCCTTTGTGCGACAAAATGTATGTTTTACCCTCAGACGTCAAGTACCACATTTTGTACTATCACGAGAAAGAGAAACAGAAAAAATATTTTTGTAGTCTTTGCAACTTTAAAGCTACCGACAACTTCAAAATTAAACAACACACAATTATTCATCATACTAGAGACTTTCCTTTTAAATGCGACTTGTGCGATAAGGGATTCGTCAATAGATCTCTCTTGGAGAACCACAAAAAAGTCCAACACGAAGGACTGCGACTAGTGTGTGAATTATGCTCGAAAATTTTTAGGACCCGAGCAAGTCTTCGAAGACATGTGGCGCAACACGATCCTGATTACATTGCTCCAAAGTTTAAATGCGAAGAGTGTGGGAAGGTTTTGCACAGGAAAGCTACTTTTGACGAGCATATGAAAAAGCACAAGGGTGAACTTGATAATTATGTATGTCACACGTGTGGGATAAGTCTCACGTCTAAGCAGACTCTCAAATATCATATGCAGAGACATGCGGGACAGAGAACGTTTGTTTGTGAAGTGTGTGGCAAGGCTTTTACCACGAAAGCACTACTAAGGGTGCACACACGAGTACACACAAAAGAAAAACCATTCAAGTGTGCTGACTGTGGCAGAGCGTTTTCTCAAAAGGGTACTCTTAACATCCATGTGAGGTACCACACTGGTGAAAGGCCCTACAAGTGCCATATCTGCAACAGAGAGTTTGTCTCGAGGACTGCTCTTAATAGTCACAAGTGTCGAGCTATTTAGTTTAACGTTATTTTTCAAATCATTATTATAATGAATTTGACATGAACTTTTTTTGAGAAAAGCTTTTACTCAAAAGGGTAGCTTAAACATTCACTTGTGATGTGCTTTTAAAGTGCAAAAGCTTATAATTATGTAAAAATTTTATTGTTTCTGACTAAACTCTAATAAAGCTTTAATTTTTTTAAATTATTTTTTGTTTCGTTTTTTATTGTATTTTTATTAATTTTTTTGTAAAATTGTAAACATTTGTAGTGAATTACTGCTAAATCTCCATTCTTAGATTTTTAGCAGAATATTTGATCTTGTAATCAAGGTTGAATTTCGAAGACAAACTAGTGTGCTTGGTGTTATACAAAATACATTTTTACTTACATCGTTAATTGGGCTTTTCTGATTCTTATTTTTTCAGTGGCAACTCATCGTTGGAGGTTCTGGGAAACGATTTTGAATGCACGATTTGTTCCAAAAAATTCCTTACCAAAAAAAGGTTATATAGACACCGAATCCGACACCGCGAAAAGAAACACAAATGTCCCCTTTGCGACAAAACATTTATGTATCCATCACATGTCAAGACACACATTCTCTACAGTCACGAGAAACGAAATAAATATTTTTGTAGTCTTTGCAACTTCGGTGCCGCCGATAACTACAAAATTAAACAACACACAATTATCCATCATACTAGAGACTTTCCTTTTAAATGCGACTTGTGCGATAAAGGATTCCTCTATGAACGATTCTTGACTCACCACAAAAAAATTGAACACGAAGGTGTGCAACAAGTGTGTGAATTGTGTTCGAAAAGCTTCAGAAACCAAGCAAGTTTTCAAAATCATGTGGCCCAACACGATCCTGATTACGTTGCTCTAAAGTATACATGCGAAGTGTGTGGGAAGATTTTGCACTTTAAACAAACCTTTGAGAAACACATGAAAAAACATAAGGGTGAATTTGATAATTATGTGTGTCACACGTGCGGGATAAGTCTCTCGTCGTCGCAGAGTCTCAAATATCATATGCATAGACATGTGGGACAAAGGACGTTTGTTTGTGAAGTGTGTGGCAAGGCTTTTACCACGAAGGGACTACTAAGGGTGCACTCACGAGTACACACGAAGGAAAAACCGTTCAAGTGTGCTGAGTGTGACAAAGCGTTTACCCAAAAGGGTACTCTCAACATCCATATGAGGTACCACACTGGTGAAAGGCCCTACAAGTGCGATTTCTGCAACAGAGACTTTGTCTCAAGGACTGCTCTTAATGGTCACAAGTGTCGAGCTATCTGATTTAATGTATTTTTTAAATAAAGGTTTACCATAATGACTTTGTTTTGACTGATTGATCGTTCTAAAGTTTTTTTTTTTAATTCTTTGTTACTCAAGCCGAGTTTTGATACAATTTTATGATTTATTCAATTTATTTGATTAGTTTTTCTAAAATTGATTATGTATGAATGAATAAAAGTCTTTTCACACTTATTTTTTCAGTTTGGTGATTTCCGGAACCATCGTGTTTCAGTGTGATGTTTGCTTAAAACGCTTCTTCACTCGAGAACAGTTTACCAAGCACAAAATCAGACACCGGGAGAAGACCCATAAATGCACAATGTGCGACAAGATGTTTGTTTCGCAATCAGAAGTAAAGCTTCACTTCAATTCCGTTCACGAGAAAACGAAAACCGTATTTTGCACTCTTTGCGATTTTGCAACTCAGACTAAGCAGAGACTCCAACAACATACAGTTGTCCACCATACACGGGCTTATCCGT